AATGTTTCAATTTATCACCATTTTTTGTTTACAAGTTATCTTCTTTTCAAAAAAATAAGTCTAAAAGATCATTCATTTCCCAACCAGCCAAACCTCTCCTAATTCTAAAGTTCTATGTGTATGGGGTGTTGGGTCAGGCACTGTAAGGGTCTGCCTGAAAGACGGTAGATGACCAGGAGAGAGTGGCTGTTGACATTTGTAAAGGGCTGCAGAGAGAGGTTTCAGATGTCAGATCTGAGATTTGAGAGTGAATTCAGGGTGGACAAAGTGTCTCTGGGGGTAGGAGGCACTTACAAGGACTGATGCAGTATGTATGGGAGGGAAAAAGGTGTGGATCCCCTTGGGGGACCCCTGTTTATAGCTTTTCTGGAGGTCTTTTCCCTTCTAGAAAGTTCCTTTCTTGAGTTTGTTACAAAGCTATCCAATCTGCGTTATCTGGATCATTTGGGGTGTCTCCACTTGCCACGTGTCCATGCTGTTACCTCGATATGATAAAGTATGATGGGGTTAAGTGTCAATTTGCATGTGTACAATGGACATGCTAGGTGAGAGTTCTTTCAGGAAGCTTAATGCGATGACATGATATGATGTGCATAGTTCCCATTACATCCCAATCTTCGTGTTGCGATTAGTTGGATTTGTGTTGTTATGCCATTGTCCCATTGCATTGCTAGTGGTATGCAATGACTAATTGTGTGGTCTTACACCATGAGATGTTGCCATTTCCAAAGGTGGCTAATTTAGCTTTTTTTTTTTGCAAAGAGAGGTTATATGAACAAGGATAAGCAAAATAAAGATGAAAGTCTCTCCACAATAGTCTTCCTGACAATTTCCTGAATTTCACCCATTAGAGTTCAAACCATGAATCCATTTAGGTATTTAATTCCACAAAGAATTGTTCTCAATGGGAAACCTTCATAACTAATTTCCCAAACCCCTCTCCTTACTGTTTGTTGCGTTCTTCGAATTTAACAGATGACTTCTTCCCAAAGGAAGCCCCTAATGATTTTTATCCCAATTTTCTTTATCACTTTGGCCGGTGCTGTAAACTGGGAGGGTTATAGAATGTAGATTTGATGAGAGTAATATCATGTTAAGTTTTAGGTAAAAGAGCATAAAAGGTAAATACTTTTTAGGCTAAAAAATGGTCGTCTTCACATGCTCAAAGTTTTTGGTGTGTGGATAATGACCTTTTCACTACTGGATTTGGAAGCTGCACAGTAGATACTCATTGGTTTTATTTGCTTTTAAAAAGCATGCATTATACACTAGTTATCATTGTGCTATTGTTTCCATAAATGTGTTGTCTGTTTCTTTATTTCCATCTGGTGATAATATTTATTATTTTCAGTATCTGGACATGATAACTGATAGATCAATGAATTTTATCTTCAGCAGTCATGAAGGTAAGGGCATCTGTGAAGAAGCTGTGTGAGTTCTGTCGGACTGTTAAACGTCGTGGAAGAGTGTACGTGTTATGCACAGCCAATCCCAAGCATAAGCAACGGCAGGGAATATCAACATTTGCATACGAAGGCTCAGTACCATCTCTGTATGTATCTACCTATTATCTCTTTGATTTCAAGGTTGGAAGTAGAACCATTACTATTTATAGTGCAATATTCTTGTTCCTCTCTCTCTGGGTCCTTCCTTTAGTTGCTGGGTTACCTTTAACTAACTGTAACTTTAAGTGAATCATCATCATCATGCCTTATTCCAACTATATGGGGTTGGCTACATGAATCCTGTTTCACCAATCCATTCTATTTAAAGCCATATCCACTGTTAAATTATTAGTGCTTAAATCATTTCTTATTACTTCTACCCATGCCCTTTTTGGCCTATCCTGAGCTCTTCTAGCCCCTTCATGTGTAACAAATTACTTCTTCTAACTGGCACAATTGGTCGTCTTTTATTCATGTGCCCAAACCATCTTAGTCTATTCTCTCTCATTTTATCACCTATTGGAGCTACTCGTAGGTTCCCAAGGATAACTTTACTCATGTTCCTATTCTTTCTAGTTTTCCACTCATCCATCTTAGATTTGCATTTCTGCCACATTCATTTTCTGAACATGTTTTGTAACTGCCCATCCCAACACTCTGCTCCATACAACATAGCTGGCCTCGCAACTGTTTTATAGAATTTTCCTTTTATATAAATTTATCAGAAACTGCATCATGATGCTTGGCATGGAGAAGACAGACCTAATCTCCCTATTTATTTTCTTTTTTCTTACAAGATGATTTAAGGGGTGTTTGCCAATATGCATGATTTTTTCAATGCAAAAAACAACTGCCACATCAGCTAAAGCAATATGATTTTGCTGATGTGGGAGTTCTTTTTTAGCTTTCAGAGACAAAATTATACATATTAGTGAAACAGAATGAATGGCTAAACATGATTTATGTAGCTGACCCCATATAGTTGGAACAAGGCATAGATGATGATGATGAAACAAAATCTTACATATTAGTGAATACCTCATTCGTCTGATTGTTTTTCTATTTAGTGCTTGATCATGCGTCCATGCTTTGTGGAATTGAGTTCCAAATTCCCAACTCTGCAGCCATAAAATGAATGACTTGTTTTAGATTGTTGATGAGGCTGAGATCCTCATTGGGGTTTGGATGGTTGGGTATTATAAGCACCTCTACAGTTGATAGCAAAGATACAATTCTCAAATTATGGCTTGGTTATTCTTATGGACAATATGGTTGTTTCTTTACCAGGGTGTCTCTGTATGTGAACCATGGATATGAAATAATCTTTTGATTTAGAAACTTGTTTATTGTGGGGATTTGATACAGGTCCTCTGAGATGAGTACCAAGCAAGAGATTTGTCGGAGTAACAGCTCATCAGTAGGTTTGGCAGCTCTGCTTCACAAAAAGCAATTCCCATCGCTAATTTTTGGCTGGAGGGCTAGTCTGGCTTCTCTTCTGCCAAAACAGGAAAACTAATCAATAACCAATTCAGGTCATGCTGGAATCTTGTCTATTGTAATATGATCCGGTTCCTTGGATATAGTCACCCTTTGGGTGAGCCAACATGTTTCTTTATTGACTTTGTTCCACAGTTATTTCTTTTGTTCAAGGTACAATGATGCTATTAAATTATTGGTAGGATGCAATTATTTCCCAGGAGGATCAATGTGGAATTTGTGCCATTTTTGCTGATATGTTGTTGAAACCATTGCCCAAGTTCCCATTTTAAGAGTTTGTATGATTGAGTTGTCATGGGTCCACTGAAGTTGTTAACTTGTTTATAAACATTCGTGATAACACTTTGGCCATCGCTGGGTTGAGTCAGGTCCGGGTCAGAGTAGACCCATTCTTGAACTCATAAAAAAGGATAAATTGTTGAAACCTCCCCTAAAGTTTCTGGTTGTTGTTGAAATCTCCCTTAAAGTTTTGATAATTGCAATCACCTTCCCTGGACTTTGTGATGTAGTTGCAAGTAGACTCTTTTTGTTAAAATCCTCTAAAAGGAGGCGTGTAAGTGTCCATGCCCATGCAGTTACTTTTCACCAAAATGTTTATTTTTCAATTTTTTTTTTCATATGAATCACTAGCCCAAACCCTTCCAATCTCTTTCTCCAAATTGATTTATTTTTCAATTTTTCCCTTTATATCAAATTCTCAAAAGTAAAGCTGCAATTTTAAATTCTTTTTTTATTGCTATTGCTTTTCTGTAGAAACCAATCTCAATGGTAATTGCATGGGTATTTTGGACATTTCCATGTCTCTTGTTAATGGATTCTAACAAAGGGGGTTTACTTGCAATTATGTTAGAAAGTTCAGGGGCTGATTGCAATGACCAAACTTTAGGGGAGGCTTCAGCAACGGTCAGAAACTTCATGAGAGATTTCAGCAATTTACCACTTCAGGTGTCTCGCTAGAGCTGCCAATTGGGTTCTGGTTCTGTGGTTTGTGTCCCGATTAATAATTGGGTCTTGAACGTTTTCTCGCTGTTCTGAAATAATTAAGACCTGAATCAATTATATAGTTAATAATATATAAAGATCTCCTAGTTTTTCTTCTAATTTTTCTCATAATTTATATTTAAAAGGATAAATTTGATAAGCATTATATAGGATATTAAAAAACACGTTTTATCAACATATAAATAGTCTATCATTTACTGTTATTTTTATCAAGCTTATATTATCAAAAATAAAGATGCAACTATCCTGATTAATAATTGGTCCAGTTATGGGTCTATTTTATAGAACTGATTAAGAATCGGTTTGGGACTGGTCCACCCTGTCCTAAATCAGACGGGACCCATTGACAACTTTATATCCCGGCCCATTTCCTCAAACCTAGTTGACGCCAATAAGCAAACAGAAAGCAGTCAAACATAAACTGCCTACCCACAATAAATAAAATAAATAAAAATAAAATAAAAGGCAAAGAAGAAGACAGAAGAAAGAAAGCATAGGTGATATCACAGCTCCAAATAATGCTGCTATTTTGTAGAGAAATCATTGCTTCAAAGAAACCTAAACACGTAGGCCATGAAAATAAAAGTCTGATCTACCAAATCTACCTTCCTTCTTTTGTTTCAGCTCTTCTTGTCCTTCTCAATCTCTCTCTCTCTCTCTCTTTCTTTCTTTTTCTTTCTGATCTACCAAATCTACCACTTTCGTAATCCTGTCATCTCCTCTCCTACTCTCCATTACAATCAACCATGGAACCCCACTTGGAAAACATTGAAACAAATTGCATCCAACTAAATGATCTGGGCCGTTCATTTGCTCACTAGTGCACACGGCCCATATCTCAATTAGTGATCCGCATAGTGCTGGACTCCTATCTCACCTTTGGCTCATCACCCAACTAACCTAGACCCACCACTTAATGGGGTCCATTTATGATATGGCTTGCATAAATATGCATCATCAATTTAATTATTATTATTATTATCAACTCACTCAATTAATATGGACCTTTTGCCCTTTAGTATCACTACCTAATTGGGTTTGTTAATCATGGTTAAAATAAATAGTGTGCAATTATATGGGCCTTGTTAATCCCTTCTTGGGAGGGGCCCATTCATTACTTATAGGAGGTCCCAAATCCTTTGAACAGTGGATCCTGGTGAATTATTCTGGCCTCTAAATTAGTGGGCCCTATGGCCCACGGCCCACCTCCTTTCTTTGAAGTTTGAAGGCCATACTTACTTATCCCGATCAAAACCGGTTCTTCCTTATCCTGATTCAAAAATTGATCACTTGCAGCAAAGGCCCACAAACTCACCTCACATAAATTATCCTAACCATTCAACCAAGACCCAAGATCAGAGTATGTTGTGGCCCATCTTGTAGTTGTTGTTACGGCCCAAGAGAGAGAGAGAGAGACTGGTGGAAGCATTGCCAAAGCCAAACGCTGACAAAACGAGTGAGTGGTACGGTAAAACACGTAGTTATTATTAAATTAAATTATTCTCGATTTTTATCTCTAATAATAATTTTTTAATATTTATTTTATTTTTTGTATTCCCGATAATTGGCAGGAGAAGAAGAAGATGCGAAAAGAGCCCTTTGGTTTGTATTAACCAGAGGGCGATCGATTACAGGAAACACAGAGAAAAAGACAGGAGGGAGTGAGGTGAGGGATAGGACGAAGACGGATGATGGAGTTGCAGAAGTATGTTCTTCAGATTCTGGAACCCTAGTTGAATTTTAGTGTTTTTTTTTTATTATTATTTTTTCTTTTAACGCTTTTATACACGCGTTCTCTGTTTATTTGTGAGATGAAGCTGGGATTTATCTGTATCCGTTCTTATCGCAGGGCTTGCAGGTCATTTGATCCTGGATTCGATGATTCGACACAAGGATCTGAGATTTGACTGCGGATTTCGGAATAAATGCTACTCTGTGGATCTATTACTTCCTGGATTGGTCAGATTTTTGCATGCATGGGGTAAGTAATTGATTTCCGTCGTAGATCGAGAAAAAAAATTCCGGGTGTTTTTCTTCTTCTTTTGTTTTGACTTTTCTATGTCTAATTTTGTCCTTCGATTATTCTTCTATGCTGCTGTAGCTTAGTTATGCTTGTCTTGTCTTAGAATCTCATTTTGCTTCTTTGTTAAGCGACCCTGGATGGTTTGTTAATAAAAATGTAAATCTTTTGGGGCTTTTTTTTTTATTGTTGTTAGTATTATTTGATTTGCATTCCTTTCTTGACGCTTGAGAAAATTATACCTTGCTTTTGCGGCCAACATGGATTTTATGTTGGAATTTTAGCTTCTGTAATCGGTTGCAAATGGGGAAGATTTGTGCTTGTAAAGGGTCGTGTAACTGGTTTTTTATTTTGATTTACTTGCGCTCTCTGAAACAGAATCTTACGGAGAAGTTTAAGGGAAAATTTGGGGCTTTGTTCAGTGTAAGACAGTAAACTGGATTTCCTTGTTTGTGGTTCTCTTGTAGTTTCGTTTTTTTTTCTTCCTCATTTTCTAAGAAATAACCTTGGAATAGTCTACATGTTGGCAGTTGAATATTCTTCTGTAAATTTGTATTATTGTATATCTTTTGTTTTGGATTTTGTGATAATAGTCTTCATGATCATGTACTCATTTCTAAATAAATGTAAAAGCGTCAAAGTTAGTGGTAGAAGCGAAGTTGATGTGATAAATAAGTGACAAATCCAGAAAACAATACGTTTGTAACTTTATGCATCCTAAGCAAGCTTGGAGTAGCTCCAACATTTTATAAAAGATATAGTTCACTGGTGATAAAAAAAAAAACGATATAGTTGACTGGGATAGTTTGGGATGTGCAAGGGAGATGATGGACAGCACTAAATTAGGGGTTTGTGCTTTCAAGTTGAAGGTTCTAACATGGGAAGGGAAGATAGAGAGGATGTTGGCCAAGTCAGGGAAAATCCATTTGAAGGTACAGTGTTTTATGAAGGAAGAACTGTGTTGCCGAACGCTAATCATGGGTCAGTGCTTGCATTGTAGTGATTTTGATAGTAAGGATGGAATCCATTCTTCAAAAAAGAAAGGATTTTTTGGCATACAACATTCAAGATTAAGTTTATGGTCATGGTTTTAACACAATTATCTGTCTTGATACCTTCATGTTCATCTGTTCTATTTATTATCTTTTCAGTATGCATACTTCATGGTAAATATTATAGGAAAGAGAGAAGACAACTACTTTATGACATTTATTGTACCAGATTTTTGCAGTAATTTGGGTATTGGATTGACAAGTATACATGTATTTTATACTTACCTGCTCGAGATTGTATCCTATGAATACAAATGATGCACACATGGGAGTTCTTTGTGTTTCTTTACCACATGAGTGGAATGTTCTTTTTCTATTGATTTTTTATGGGTAAATGACAAATAGCCTACATGTATCAATTTCCCTTCACAAACTCATTTGTCAACCACCACTTGAATCAAATTACTGAAATTTTGTTTTTTCTAATATTATTTTGGAACTGATTCGCTTCTTCATCCTGCTTTATCACATTGCCTGTTTTGGGTAAAATTGTATCAGCTTTGTTTACACAGAGTGTTCTGACTAATTGTTGTAACCACTTAAATACTAGTTTGACCAAAACCCATAGGAGATTTTGTAAGTTTCATCATGTAGTATTTTAGGCTTTCTAATTGTTGGAAATTCCATTTGTTTCAAAAAATCCCGATTGATGCATGTTACTGATACTGTTGCCAGTGCTTTGTAACCTATAGCTTCAACCATGACTTGTTATGTATCTGTTTACACTAATTTTTGCTTCTTTGTTTGGCTTGAAATGATTTTTTTTATCAATTGGCTTGAAAAGGTGTTTCTAGAAAGAGAGCAGATTAGAACATATATCATGAAATATACTTTCAGTTTGATTGAAAGAATTGATCAATTGTTGCAAATACAAGTTTTGGTAACATGACAAAATTTCCTGATATTTCCTGAACACAACATTGCCATGTTTACTTTCAACTTGGAAATAATGATATTATCTCTTTTGCTTTCATATTGTTTTTTATTGGTCCGAATGCAAAGTATTGCCGTTCGGTGTCTGGTACTAATCATTTATGTGGTTAAACCTGATTTGTAACAGAGCAGAGGTTGTCTTGGATGCTGTACTAAGCCCACACCGATCATCGCTGTGGACGAGCCATCAAAGGGACTGAGAATCCAAGGTCGTACAGTGAAGAAACCTAGCATATCTGAGGATTTTTGGAGCACCAGCACATGTGAGATGGACAACAGTGCAGTTCAATCTCAGAGAAGCATTTCTTCAATTAGCACCTCGTATCAAGTAGATCCCCACGGAGTTGGCAGTACCAGCAACCCTACTGAGTTTGTTAATCATGGCAAGTTTAATTCTTGTCCCTCTTGCATACGTTATTTAAAAGAACTGATGTTTGGATATACAACAATGTGATCCAAGTGCCCAACATGCTGCATGCAATCTGTGACCCGCTATTTGATATCATAAAAGTCAGTGTGACTAGATAGATCTGACTATCCAATATTCTCATTCATTTAACACCTTGGCCAGTTTTGTCAAATGCTTAGTGAAAGCCCCTCTGCTGAATTGTTTGGATCATCTAATTAGCTAGACCTTTGACCTACGAGATCCCTGTTGTTGGCTGTTCAAACCAGTGTTTTAAGACAGGCTGGACACAAAACCGGAATGCTTTCTGGGTCATGGGTCAAACAGTTTCACTGCAAGTCGCATAAAAAACATATATAATATATTTTGTAAATAAAAATAGACTTGTAAGCAGCGGCTAGATGAATAAAGCGTTGTTTTTTGATATAAATGACTAGGGCTCAAATATTTTAGCTTGCAATTTTTCAGAATATACACATTTAATTAAAAGAGGCAAAAGTAAGCACAAAAGACAATATGGGTTGATGGTTTAAGGCTAATAAATGTACTTAAGAGAACCCAAGTCCAAATCTCTCTAACACCATTTTGAAATTGGTAATCATTTAGTGTCACAGGTGGCTCGTGAAAACTGGTTGGGTCATTGAAACCTAGCCGGTTATTAACAGTTTTGCTGGTTTTTCAGAAAAAGGAAAACCAAGGTTCTTAAAAATCAGAATGTCTTCTGTTTTCCTGGTTGACTGGTTCAACTGTCCGGTCTGCTCCAAGTCTTAAAACACTGGCTCAAACAAATGGTTCTCATAGTATTATTGTTGGATGTGGTGATTCTTTAAAATCCTCTTTCATTTTCTTGTTTTCTATGCCTTCCAACTAACGAAACTGGCTTCCATATGTCTTTTCCAGGTCTTCTTCTCTGGAATCAAACTAGGCAGCAATGGGTTGGAAATAGAAGGTCTGAGAATCGGACACAACAGGTCCAAGAACCCAGGTTAAGGTGTGAATCTTACCCTTTACTATATTTGTTCAGGCGCATAAAGTTTGATCCTTCTCGCATAGGTCATTTTGCTTATTATTCGTGTAAGCAGCAGCAGAAGCCTCTAACCTACCTCCCCCATAACTGATCAACCAATCTTTTAACACATTTCAACTAGAACTGAGAATCTTTCTAATTTTCTTAGTTTTCATCCAAATCTTTCTCATCTATGATATACCTAATTGATTGAGGTAGATCATGGTCATGGATAACAAACTGAAAGCCTTTTGTACATCCTATCTGATTATCTTGTTCGTCCTGTTTTCACCATTTGAGGTGGTGAGATCAATTAATTTATGTAGTGTAATTTGGGCTGTGAATTTTTCTTACAGGAAGATTTTAATTAATTGTATTTCCTTCTTAATTAGTACTTGATTATTCACAATTTTGCTTTGATGCTTATTTTCAATGCGTGCTATCCCTTTGTGGTAAACCCATTGTGGCTTTGCAGTTGGAATGCGACATATGACAGTTTACTTGGAACCAACAAGCCATTCCCCCAGTCTATACCACTCTCTGTAAGTCTGCTATTGGCCATGGAAAATCCATCCACTCTTACAATATCTTGTTTTTTAACTGATTAATTATTGTTCTCCAAATTGGCAGGAAATGGTAGATTTTCTTGTGGATGTCTGGGAGCAGGAGGGGATGTATGATTGATCAAAAGAAATCCTGTAAAATATGCAATGGGTTTCTGGAGATCAGGACACCACTGCCACCATTGTAATTTTTAAAATGCTTTGGTATAGGAAGGGGATTGAGCACTGTCATGTCTTTCTACCCAAAAAAAGGCACTGTCATGTCAACTGTAATATTATTCTAATGCTGTTCCCTACCAAATATCCAATCTTTTCTCTTCTTTCGGTTTTTAGAACATGCTTATCCATCGAATTCAATCTAATATATAGAAATTGCAGCCCACAGGTTTTTAGCCCGATGTCTATAAATGAGTTATTGATCTCTCCAAGGCTGAACCCCTTGTTGCTGCATAAAATTCTTGRTGGTTTATCTTGTAGTTTTGGTAGAAGATGGTTCTCTTGTGAGATCTTTCCGTTTAACTTTTTCTTTCGAGTGATTGGTTGTTAGCTCCAAAATTTCCTTCCCCGTGATGCATTAGGGGTGTCGATGGACTGGGTTTGGGTTGGATTCCGTCCAATCAATTTGAATGGGTTGAACGGTCCAATAAGACATTGAATGGACCAGTCCAGGTTTTATGGCCCGAAGTATTAATTGGATTGGATTGGTCCCGGTCCATCTGTAATGGACTTATATTGGACTAGGTTGGATAGAACCAATATCCGGTCCATTGACAGAGGTTTGGTTGGACCCAATCTAAATTAAAACCAATTTGAACAGATTGGAAGATCCAGACAAATGTTTTAAAACTGTCTGATGACTCAGATTGTTGGACTGTTTGGCCTGAAAACTGGCAAGTATCGGTTCTGTTTCAGCCCCAGACTGTTCTTTTAAGGCAAAACTGTTGAAACAGCGGCTGGACTGTATAGTGGCCACGGCCATGACTTGTAGCGTTGAGCCGGGGACCATCACTTGAGTTTTTTCAGTTTATCACTCTCCGTTTCTCATGTTTGATTCAAGACTTTTTGTTTCTCCCTTAAAGACTATGGAGTGGTACCGGCGGCCACCACACCACTTGCCGCAACGACCATGACTTGCAGTGACAACCACCAGGTGACATTTTAGTTTTTGTTTTGTTTTTTTTTTTTTTCTTTTTTCAAGTAGTGTGAAGATAGATGATCCCACCCCTTTTCCCAGTTCATCTAAAAACCTTATGATTTCTAGTTTTTTCTTTACTTTTCTTTTCTTTTGAAGTATAATTCCTGAGTTCTAGATAGATTCAAGTAACCAAATTAAATGTGTAGTTGTGACCCAAATATTATATGCGGATGTATGAATCGTAAAACGAAGCATGAGAATGCATGAAGGAAACTGGGCTTTAGTTTGTTCCTACATCACCCGACCACCTGGTGTCCTGGTGGTTTGAAAACTTTCTTTGTCAAATGTCTGGATTTCTGGATTTAAAGTCTAACAATCCCTAACAAATTGATCTCTGCAACAGAGTCTACCTCTTGCAGCGGCGACCAAAACCGGCTAGCACCACTTGGCGTGGCAATTGGAAGTTTGGAACCATTGAACAGGAATGTTTTCTTTCTTTGGGAACATTGCAAGGTTCAAAGTATCAACACGTATTGGCCGACCCGTATTGACCAATACGTATCATGCCAATGGCTTCCTGATACGCCCCTCCAGAGGTTGTATCAGGTCAGACCATGGTTCAGAGGATAGCCGGGACTTAAACCGACCCCTCTGAACCGGTTTTGAAAAAATAAATAAATAAAACATAAAAAAAGCACTGTTACAGGCCAATATGCCCTACCGATACTTATCGGCCTGTGTCGATACTTTGAACCTTCCGAAACAGATCATGGGGTTTTGGTCTCACTGTAACTTATCAATTATATATATATTTTTAATTATTTATATAACTATATATTTATTATTATATTTATTTTTTTTATGTCATTGGTCAAATCATTCAACCCAGATGGTTTAACCAATGACCTGAAAACCGGAGGCCAAAACGGTTCTCTTTCTGGATCAGTTTTTCAAACTTTGATCCAGATATTGGTCCACTGACAGTCCTACATGTATTCTTATCTTTCAAAGATCCCCAGGCTGCCTTCTTATCTTCGTTTTGCCTTTTGCCAAGAGCCAAGAATACGCATCTAGTGCTGAACAAACTACATGCATTTAGAAATATTAACCATTTTTACATTGTCCAGTCATTGAGCAATCTCATTTTATTGGTGAAGAAAGCCCCTCAACAATCAATTGGGCCGTGGTTGCCATTTGGTTATATCATGGCATAGTAATTGAATTTCGGCCTAATTTCAAAATATCAATACAATACATTCGATACATGGGTGGCATGGCATGAATCCGTTGAGAACCTATGGCAGCAATAATAACTGTTGTTAAAAGTTTCTAATCATCAATGTTGGCATAGGTAAATGAATTACTATTTAGACCATGTTTGGTTCGTTGCCCGTAGCTTCATTCTTTTAATTCTTTCCGATTTTATATTTAGACCATGTTTGGTTCGTTGCCCGTAGTCTCATTTTTTTTAATTCGTGTCGATTCTATAAAAGAATGGGCAAGAATAAATGAGATACAGGTGTTTGGATATTCATTTCTTGCCACAGAACCCTCTCGACTTTCAATGAACCCTCGCTCTCTGTACAAGGTAATCGCTCGCTCCTCTCTCTCTCTAGAAGGTAAACCCTCGTCCCTCTCTCTCTCTGTACGAGGTAAACTATTGAGCTTCATCGTATATTTTCATGTATCTATTTTAGGATGTAATCTTTGTGCTAGTTTAGGATAGTTGTCAAATTGGTTTTAGTTACCATAATTTTAGGAGTCGGTGATTTGTTTCCTAGTTGCTAGCCGATATCCTTGTGAGGGAACTTTGTATATATGTAGCTTGTAATCGTTGGCTGAAAGGACACAAAAGCTTTCTCCATTATCTTTCTCTTTCACCTAAAATTTCTCATGGTATCAGAGCCGTTTTCAAGCTCTGGTTGATTGATAATGGCGGATGAAAAAGAGAAGAAGAATGAAGGTGAGGGCAGAAGCAAGAAGGTAGTCTCACCATACTACTTGACTGCCAATGACAACCCGGGTAATATAATTACCCAAGTTCAATTGAAAGGAGACAATTACGAAGAATGGGCTCGAGAAATGCGGATGACGCTCTGAGCTAAGAAGAAGATTGGATTTATCGATGGGACTATATCTCAGCCCGCTGATGATTCACCAGAATTGGAAGACTGGTGGACCGTAAACTCGATGTTGGTTTCATGGATTCTCAACACGATAGAGCCAAGCTTGCGTTCTACAATCACGTATATGGAGGTTGTGAAAGACTTGTGGGACGGCATCAAAGAGCGTTTTTCAGTGGGCAATGGGCCAAGAATTCAGCAACTCAAAGCAAATCTCGCGAATAGCAAACAGGCTGGTCTCCCAATCATGACTTATTATGGCAAATTGAAACAAATATGGGAAGAGCTTGCTAATTACGAGCAAATCCCGACATGCGTTTGTGTAGGCTGCAACTACAACATCACTGCGAAGCTGGAGAAGAGACGAGAAGAAGAAAGGCTCCATCAATTTCTGATGGGCTTGGACGACGCAGTGTATGGAACAGTGCGTTCCAATATTCTGGGCTGCCAAGCTTGAACAAAGCCTATGCCATGGTGATACAAGAGGAGCGCCTGAGAACCATGACCGTGGCAAAGAAGAAAAAAGGGAGGCAATGAGCTTCGTTGTGCAGGCGCAAGTTGGAGCAAAAAGAATGGGATATGACACAAAAGAAGAATCTGGAGTGTGCACGAACTGCGGACGAACAGGGCATGAAGCTGAGAGTTGTTTTCAACTCATCGGCTACCCAGACTAGTGGGGAGACCGACTGAGATCTACTGGAAATGGGAAAGCACGAGGCCGAGGAGCACAAGGCAAAACTGGTCGTGGATGTGGAGGCGTACAGAGAGCAAATGCTGCACAGGCGGTAGGGCAAACTTCTGAACCAATCCACGCGACAGAAGGAGATCGTGCAACATTCAGTGGGTTGACTAATGAACAGTGGACCACATTTCTTAATCTCTTGAATTCTTGCAAACCCAGCACAAATGAGAAGTTAATAGGTATGAATTGGATAATTGATACAGGAGCATCACACCATATGACCGGCAACTTGAGCCACTTGCATGATATCAAAACTGTGACTGGTTGTCCGGTTGGATTGCCCGATGGAAAGCATGTCATGGCAATAAAGAAAGGGACAGTCATTTTAAATAAACACATAAAGCTTACTAATGTGCTTTATGTTCCTCGTTTGAATTGTAACCTGATATCTGTATCGCAATTATTAGAGGAGTCAAATTGTAATATCCAATTCACTAATAAGTTTTGTGTTATACAGGATGGTGATTGGTGCGGGTGAACTACGCGAAGGGCTTTACTACTTCAAGGGCGCGGGCTCAAGCAAGGTTCACAAGGCAAATGTTGAAGCTTCATATGAGTTATTTTACAAGAGAATGGGTCATCCCTCCGTGAAAGTAATTAAATTTCTTTATGATTTGAACATTAGATGTGGGAGTGGAAATAAGATTTGTGATGTTTGTTCAAGAGCCAAACAGACAAGAGGTGCATTTGATTCTAGTGAAAATAATCTAAAGAAATTTTCGACTTGATTCATTGTGATTTATGGGGTCCTTACTCTGTATGTTCGTCTTGTGGTGCCACATATTTTTAGACTATTGTTGATGACTTCTCAAGAGTCGTTTGGATTTTCTTGCTTAATGACAAAAGTGAAGTGGGCAAAACTTTACGTAATTTCTTCACTATGGTTGAACGCCAATATGATAAATTGGTAAAGATAGTTAGAAGTGACAATGGTACTGAGTTTACATGCTTGAAAGAATATTTTTCTGAGCAAGGTATAATACATCAGACCTCATGTGTTGGAACACCGCAGTAGAATGGACGTGTCGAGAAAAAACATAGACATATACTAAATGTTGCCAGAGCTCTTCAATTTCAGGCTAATCTCCCTACTGAGTTTTGGGGAGAATGTGTTATGACAGCTGGATATTTGATCAACAGGGCCCCCTCCACTCTTCTTTTGGGAAAATCACCGTATGAGATGTTGTATGGGCAGAAACCTAGCTACAAACATATACGAACGTTTGGGTGTTTGTGTTATGCACGAAACCTAAATCGTACCAGGGATAAGTTTGCTAGTAGAGTCAGACGTTGTGTCTTTGTGGGATATCCATTTGGCAAGAAGGGGTGGAGAGTTTATGACTTGGAGAATAATGAATACTTTGTTTCTAGGGATGTGGTATTTTCAGAAACTGAGTT